AATAAATTTAGCAAAAAAAACGACAAAAATTTCTTAACAAGCCAATAGAACAAGTTTTCAAAATTAGTTGGTTTAAATACTGGAATTCGTGTTTGATAACTAAAATGATCAATCGAACCTTTCTAGACACTGAATTGCCAACTTCATTGGAAAAATCAGTGCTTTATGCTTGAAAATTCGAAACATTGCAACTGATGACGTTTAAACTAACTAATTCTGAAAACTTTCTCTATTTTCATGAATGGTGTATCATATATAAAGTGTGTTTTTATTCCTTCTTTTTATTATTCTGGGTGGCAACTAAAATTATCTGTGGAACGCTTCGTATGTATTTTTCTTACTTATCAACAGATAAAATTTCTTTGATGAGGTTAAAGATAAAACTTAATAGAAGTATTTGTTTACATTATTTGTGTAAAAATAAACTTTGTATAAACTTCTACCACTAACCAAAATATCAGCTTATTTAATTGAACTGAAACGGAGTTAATCAGTTTTTTTTATCGTAAAGCTACTTATGGATCACTCTGTAAGTGTGAATGTTTTATATGCAATGCACAATCTGAAACATTTCGAGAATAGAAGATGAGAAGAAACTATAAAAGATTGAATAAATATCATTCGAAATAGCTTCTGTTCTATTTGTTTTTCTTAGAGTCAATTCTCTTCCTGAGCAATTATAGTTTCATTACAAACTATTGATAATGTAGTATATTATTTCTATTTTATCAGGCTGGAGTTCATACAGATCCCAAGTGATCAACAAGTAGCATTCCAAAAGGTGGATGTGTCAGAGTTAAAAAAAAACTAAGTGCTCCAAAATATGTCTTTTTCGAACGTTATTTATAAGCGAACGAAACATTCTTGAGAAGTTTAGTAAAAACCTGAATCATGTCAACCTCGATTCTTTCAGTCCGTCTTCGAATGACTTTTATCTGATTTTCTGTACCCGAGTTCATTTCAACAGAAAATAACAACTTGGGATGCATATGTTTCGCAATAAAAAAAATTAAATTTATATCGAAAAGTCGATCAAAGTTTTCGTTTTTGTCTACCTTTCTGTAAACACAAGAAACCTTATATGAAAAGATGGTAAAATTTATGTTCTCAATTCAATCTTGACTTTTTCATCCCCTCTTTCAACGGCCATTCTCTGGTTTTCCAATGTTGAGATCAATATGAGACAAAATGTCAACTGTCGATGCCTTTGTCTAAGAAGAGATAAACAAAATTGATATCTTCTAAAAAACATATCGTCGTTTTTACGATTCAATACGAACTGATTTTCTCCAAAACATTTTTAGGCTATATTAAAGTCTTTTTTTTATTATTGTAAATAGGTTTCGATCAATCAGTTGATCGAAATCAAAAACACATCTGAAAAATAGCCATCGTAAAATTGATCACTACCAAAACTCTACGAACGTGTATCAATAGTCTTCTAAAGAACATTGTCTATTGATTATTTAGCTATCTATACGATTCATTATCTATCATCAACTGTAGTATTCACAGCTGTCTTACACATGAGCAGGAAATATGGCACCTAAATTTCCTCGTTTTAATTATCTTGAAGCTTGAAAAAAACCAAAGTCCTCAAAAATTTGTACATTTGAGATGTTATTTGAGAGCGAATAAAACGTCCTAGACAAGATTGGAAAAAAGTGCTTTCGGTTCGATTTCGATACTTTTACCTGATGTTATTGACGAAAAAAATAGTATTTCTATTTTTGAATAAATTTGAACTTATGAAGTTCAACAATGTTCGATCAATATCTATAGAAAATCAGAAGCTTGTCAGTGCAGCGGCTGAAATGTGGAACTCACCTCAGTGTCGCAACCAGAGTTTTAGACTAGGATGGGTCAGCCCTCCTACAGTTCTTTGAGTCCTCTTTGCTTTCCCGTGGGCTTCGCCACTGATCGCATACATTTTCGTATATTAAAAATTGTCTCACTACTAGACGTGCTGCACATATTAGTACCTTAATTCTCTACTCTTGCTTTTGCCTAGTTTTCTCTTTGATCTTAAAATTTTAACCAATGCTGTTTGCCATGCAAAGTTCTCATTTTTGCTTGTGTAACTACGAGTGACAGCAATGTTAAAATGACTGATTCGCATCTGCAGTTTCTAAGGTCTGTAATGGGATGAGTCTCAAAATTTTGACTTCAAACTTATACTCACTATTTCATTCGAAAGTACATGTGAGTTCTACAAAACGAAATTTCCTTTTTTTTTTTAACTGTTCATAGCGCATTGGTATCTTCAATTAAATCCACAAAATACGTCAATATTAAATAGATGAAGATTAAATACGTTTGACTAATGTTAAATGACATATCAAAGCTTTTCTTTTTTTCATGATTTCCTCAATATATGTTTATATTTTAATTTTAAACAATTTAAACTCAAACTTATTTTTTTATGAAAGACATTTATCGATTGTAAATAATTAGTATTGCTATCAATATTAAGTTACTGTAATAAATTTTCAATATAATATTTATGTTTCGTTGAATGCCATTTTGATTGTTCATTTTTTTCAATAAAATTATATATGGATGAATCACTTTTAAAATGTTGTTTATTATTTAATGTAAAGGAAGAAATTTGTGTTATTGGTGATATTTGATGAGATATTGGATCGGATATTGTTGATTTATTTGCATTTTTTGATATGATCAAATGTGTATTGTCATTCGTACTTGAACATTCACTTAAATTATCATCATTCATATCGATTGTAGAATTTTTCAACGATTGATCAATAAGTATTTTTTGTTTTTTTCGATATTTTGCTCGTCGATTTTTAAACCATACCTAAATAAGAAAAAACAAAACTTTAACATAGTTCATTTTGAAATACTCTTACTTGTACACGAGCTTCTGGTAAATTAGTATAGAGTGCAAGTTTTTCTCTCATAACAATATCAGGATAATGAGTTTTAACAAAACATCTTTCTAATGTTTGTAATTGTTGACTGGTAAAAGCTGTACGAGAACGACGTTGTTTACGTGGATGTCGAGAATCAAGAAGAAATTCTATTATATATTTTGATTTATTTTAAAAGACAAATGAATATACAATACCTGTAAATCGATCAGGTGATCCATGAAAAAATGGCATAACACTAGCACTTACAGATGACATCAATGGATTGACAAAAGATGATAATGGTGAATAATAAATTGATGCATATGGATGCATTTTTTTTTGTAAAATCACTAAGTGATCTTTCTCCTTGTATGTGTATGTGTTTTTCTTTTTGTTTTTTGCTCTTCTTATTCTTCATTTCATAAATCCGTTGTGCAATTAAAATTAATCGATAACATTTTCTCGGATTTAGATGATACGCCGAACGTGCTGTCATTTAGATCTTTTCATTCACACAAATTGATTTTTTTTGCAATCATCAATTGATCATCGTGTTTTGAATTTAGATGATGAACAATGACAAAAATACATTCTCTTTTGATTATATTGTCTTTATTATATAACTGAATTTTTTTAACCAATGATAAACATATGAGAAGAAGCTCAACTTCTTGTTAAAAATTATGTGTATCGTTGTTTTTTTTCCTGTTAAAAGGGAGAAGTTTTGTATGCACTCTCTATTATTGATAATCCTGAAGTGTTGTTTGACACGTTTTATCAACAATGAACTAAGAGATTACTTTGACTTATTGAGATATATGTAGAACATGTAGAGAAGAGATAAAGCAAAAAAAAAAGAAAGAAGACAATAAAACGAATGATAGAGAAGATTAACACTCAAAAGTTATTGGAAGATTTTTTTTCGATATTATGTATTAAGAGTGCAAACCATACAAATTCGATTAAACACGTAGATCGTTATCCTAATAGATCAATAGAAAACATATAAAGACATTTTTCTCTTCTGATTAGAAGAATCAAATCATTCAAAAGTCATTTATGATATTTGACATGTTCTCAACATTGTTTTTTTTTGCAATATATTAAACCTCAGCATAGGTCATTGTAGAATGTGATATTCAGATCAATCTCAGTTTGGCCTATACAAATCTTGGATATTAATACATCCAGACTTGAGAAATACTTACAAGGGATGTTCCCTAACTGATAAATCGCTTTTGATTCGAGACTACATGTATTATGTAGACTCAAATGAGCTATGAATACTCTGAAAAAAGTTCGTATCCTTAGCTTATTGCTATGAAGATACAACATTTTTATAATATTTTTTTTATGAATGCCGTGATTCCTCTTCGAAACACCATAAAAATTGTTTTTCGAATTTCAACTTCACTAAAACAAGAACATCGAATTTGTCAATGTACATGAGCGACACGAAAGACACGCTTTTACAATAGCTGTATTTTAGGATAGGAATAACGAAAAGATCTGAAACTTTCACAAGAAACTATTCTCGTCAAAACTTGTTCCTTTGCACAATTTCAAGACGAAATTCAAAAATCAGTTTTCTCGATGTTTTTCTGAGTAGGACCACAACATTTATTCAAAAAAATACTGTAAAATTGCATTATCTCCACAGCAATATGCTCATGGCACGAATTCTATCATGGTATTCATACCTCATTCAGGTCCACATAATACACATAGTCTCGATTCAAAAGCGATTTATTAGTTGGGAGGTTTTCCTCGTCAGTCAAAATTCAGTTTCAACTTTGAAACGTGTAAAGAATGTAGTATGTTATGAATGAACAAAAAGGTATGGCAATGTTTCTTTCTTATTCATAACTGATATTTCCATGATAGCTCGAAAACATTGTATTTGCATCGTTCATTCTAGACATAGAATTCGCCGAGTTCGGATCCGAAAATTTTGGATCAAATGGCTCTATTAAGATGTCGATATTCAAAAGACAATATAGTAGTTCTTCACTTTTCCGTTTTCATATTATTATTCGATCTCAGAGCCCATACAAAATATATCATCATCTTAATTCCTGTTCTGATACTTCACATATATATAGCAGGTGAAAGAAATATTTTCAATGTTATTATCTCAGAGTATTTATTAATAATGAACTTGTAGAATTGGTTTTAGAACAAATCTGGATCTATATTATTTCATTGAACATTTTTATTATTTTAAGACAAATGATCTTCATACTCATATATATAATTGTTCTTCAAAATATATTCTCTGGAGAACAAATATGATAATGATTTATGGAAATCAAACAATAATATTATTTTATTTTTTGAAAATTTTATTATATGTTTTTAATTTCAAGACTTCAAGACTTTTTGAACATTGTTCTAGTTCAATAAAATTTGCTTTACATAAACTCAAGTAACAGCAATTTACTATTGATTTACTTCAAGGATGTTATGTTTTTTAATTTTATCTTGAATATAAACATACAAAAAAAAGAAATAATAGTTATATTTTATTGAGTATTCGATGTATCATTTGAATTTGTTGGTGGTGATGGTAGCTGTGTTTCCGTATCTTGTTTCGTTTTTCTTGATTTTTGTTGTTGAATATTGGTACCACTACATTTTAAACAATCATTCATTAATTTTAAATGACCCGTTATTGGATCTAATTGACTATCAGTACCAAAAAGACCAAGACATGTAATTGATCCACTAGCAATTTCAGTTCGACCAGCATCACGAATAATTGATTTGACAACAGATTTATTTATGGATACACGTTGTTCAATATCAAGTAATTCTTCAGCTGAATCACCACGAACAACAATTTTTCTTTGACCACTAATACGCCAAAAATTTACAGCCATCAAACGTTGATCAAGAATTTTCTGATATAAATCAACAGCAGCATGTGCAACTTGTGCTGCAATTTTTCCTGAACTCATAGAAAGTGAACCATTAACAATAAATAACATTTTATAGGTCATCATGTTTTGATCAGTTGTATCACTATCAGTTGGTATTACATTCTGAAGAAAAAATAAATTATATCTACAATTAAGTTTAATTAATCAAAAATATGTTAATTAATAATATTTTAATTAACAGAACGATTATAAATCTGAATTTGATATTTAAAGATTAAATTAATAATGCTATCTTTTTCAGGTTATGAAAAGTCAATAAGAATTGACTTCTAGATAATCGAAGTAGTCATAAAAAACAAACAGTGATATGAAGAAAAGCAAAAAGGTGAAGGGCAATATTCAATGATAGCAGCATCGAATATTTCTTCATAGATTAGAGAAGAACAATATACAGAAGAAAATTACTGGTAAAATCTGATTTCTGAATTATTCATGATTTTTCAGCTTTAAAGGTACTGATCAATATGAAATTTTTAGCATAGCTAGAGCATTTAAAATAAGGAAACATATATTCGACAAAAAAAAATTTCAAACAAAATTTTTTTGCGGTTTCTACATGAAACTCTAGTTTCTCATAGGACCCATCGGTCCTGTTTACGACTCCCCCCCCCCTCCCGTCTAACTTTGTCCGATCGGATTGAAAGAAATACGTAAAGGTTTGGACCCGAAATCTGGTTGCTGGTGGTCAGAGCTCTACAAATCTGGATAGGACTATCAAAAAGCGAAAACAACGGATTTTACGTCAGGAAAATATTTTTAGGTGTCTATGGTCAAAGTTTCATCCAGTTCGGACAAAGTTAGAGGGGAAGTCGTAAGCAGACCCGATGTGGTTCTATGGAAAACCCTGTTTAAAATTTTTTTCTCGCAAACGTGTCTCTTTTTATTTTAGGTACTCCATCTGCGGTAAGAATTTCTGATATCATTTGAAAAAGAAAAGACTTTATTAAATAATATTCTTGAAAGAATATAAATATACAACCTACCGATTCATAAGAAACTTGAGTAGCCTGTTCTACACTAGCTCCACTAGCTGATGTCACAGACTCTGCAAAAAAAGAAGGCGATTCGCCAAAAACAACAGCCAATGCATCTTCCAAACTTCGATTATTAACGATTCTCAAAGCCTGAAATTGAAATTTTCCTGACGAAAATAAGAAACTAACAAATAACAAGAACCTGTCGAGCATCTTCACGATGAATACCCATTTCCATTAAACTCTTAAGAAATTGTTCATTGACATCATTATTCGAATAAGAAGATGTAGCAGATGCTGCTGAAGGACCTCCTTCTGCCATAATGATTATTAAACAATCTAAAATAATTTATATCGTCTTTTATTGCTATATTTAAATAGATTATTCATGCTCAAGTATGATGCAATAGTGTCGCTTTTTTCGATGACGTCATTATTATCATGCTTAAAATGAAAATAATTTTTATCGAGTTATTATTAAAATTTGAGTACTTATAAATAGACAAACACGCATACTAAGTCAACACAGTGTCAAAACACAAACGAGAATAGCAACCCACAATGTTCGGACTTGAATATGTGCACGATAAAATATGGAATGACAATGAATAATAAGCAAGAAAAAGCAGAAGAAAAAAAAAACAAAGCAATCACATGTTTTGTATAGGTTCAGATCTTCCGAAATGAAAAAAAAAACTTGAATTCATTTGGGCGGATGTCCTGTAGATCGATACCGGGCCGATTTTGGTTTATCAACATTTAATGATGGACGTGGAATTTTCGAATGGAATGCTGTCGTACTTGTTGGTATTGTTCCAGTAGTATTTAATGCCGGTGGTGGTGATGGTGCCACAACAACGGATGGTGAAATACCTCGTCGTATTGAACCTGTTCGATTTCCATTGTTTAATTTTGGACTTGAAACAATGACTGGTTTATTAGTTGTTGCTGCAGCTGTTGCATTAGCAAATACATTTGATAGACGTGGTCGACGTGCTGAAGCTGCTGCTGATGTTGGTGATTGTGCTCTTACTGTTTGTGGTTTTGACGTTGGTAATTTTGCAGTAACTGCAGAAGCATTTTTTCGTTGTGGTTGTGTTAGATTTGTTTTTGTAAATAAAGAATTTATTTTACGTGATAACGTCGAACGTAATGTATCAGTTGGTTGAGTAGTCGTGTTAGTAGTAGTAGCAGTAGTATTAGTTGTATTTGGTAGAACAATTGGTTGTGTTAAAGTTTTTGATGGTCGTTTTGATATATTCATAACCCAATCTCGTGGACTGTTTTTAGTTGAATGCAAACTAATTGTAGATGTAGTTAATTGTTCTTCAATATTTGCTGGAATAGGTTCGGGTTTATAAACTAAACGAAAAGCAAGCGGAGAAAGTTTTTCTAATTGAGCCATTATACGATCAAATAAATTAAATGTTGTTGGAGTAAATGTTAGAATTAGAGCATCAGGAGATTGATAATAACGTTGAAGAATTTCTTTTTGTTTCATAAAATGATAAAGCCAATTAATGAGTTCATTCTTACTAGAATACAAAAAATAAAACATAAAAAAAAATGAAAAGAAAAAAATTTTTTTACTTTAATAATGCAAAAATAAATGCTTGAAATTTATAGGGCCAATACAACGAAGCATTTTGAGCAATTTGTTTAGCTTCATAAAATACTTGAAGAGCTTGCCCTAGAAGAGACAAAAAGAAAAAGAAGTTAAAATTTTCATTTGAACATTTATTTGTCTTTTTTTTTACCATGATCAATCGATGTTTCAATTATTTTCCATACAGTAATTTGTTTAGCTAATGAAAGATCTTTTTGTTGTGGTTTAAGACCATGTTCAAGAATGTTCTGAAGAGTTGTACATAAACCATTTTTAAGTAATGTATCAAATTGAATATTATTTTCATTAGTAAGAAAAAATGTCTAAGGCAGAAAAAGAAAAAAAAATAGTTCATAATTAATTGTATAAGAATACTCTTACTTTTCCTGATCGTTTTATTTCGAAGATACGTTTTACAATATCAGTAACTTTTTCGAAAAGACCTAAATAAAATAAATGATTTGAAGATAATTAATTGATTTTCTTTTTTCGTACCATCAAGAAATGGATCATTTGTCTGAATTAATGTGGTTGTTGATGCATTCATAATTAATGTTTGTTCAGGAATTTTATTTTCTTTATCATTTGAAGATGTCATTTTTTCAATTGTTCCATTAGATTCATTAGTATCGACAATGTCAGGTGTTGTAGAAAATTCAACAATTGGTATAATATTCACATGAGTTTTTTCCATAATAGTTTGATCATCTTCATCTTCTTGTTGAGGAGCAAGACTATCAGTTTCTTGTAAACGAAATTCATTTGGTGGACTTTCCGTAAATGAATGTAAATGATGAATACGATCGACAACAATAATATCAGCTTAAAACAACAACAAAAAATAATTAAAATTTCTCACTTGAGAATCAAATAAAATCAATATTTTGTGAAATAACTTACTTTGACATCGACGCATTTCACCATAACGTAATGTTGTTTTTCTTATTAAATTTTCTTGATTTCCATGTAATGCTACAGCAAGTTCATCATTATTTGTTGTTGTATCATTATTCAAACGAAGTAGTTCTGGTGATGGATCAAATTGAATAGCTGGATTACATGGTGAAATAAGATGTTTAGCAATATTGTCTGAAAAACTAACACTTTTTTTTGTATGATATTGTTGTTGTAATGATGTTAGATCATAATCAGAACAATGTTCATGAGATAAATCTTGTATAACATAATTATTTATATTATTTGATGAACCAGTAGTGTGAGTGTTTGGTGGCCAGAGACTATTAGGACGACCTCCTGTAACATCAGCTTCTGAACAACGACGTTTTGTTGTAGGAGACGATGAATCCTAAATTAAGAAAAACTGCTAGTGCAATCCCTACGAAATAAAAATGTGAAAGATGATGTAGCTGCTGTTTTTAATCACAGGGAGATTACTTTATTCTATGTATCTTGGACACCCTTCCCTTTTACTTAATCTTCTATAAATGTAATAAGGAAATAGTTAATATATTGTAACGAGTCGTTATTGGGATACAGTCTGTGAGGACGAATTTCTACCCTACAGAATTCAATACTTCTTTTAGATCATGTTTAACAATATAATAAATATATAAGTTGAAGTTTGTCATAAAACTCGAACCGATGTCATAAATACTTAAAACATCTCTTCTTACCTTATCACTTGTTGGTTGATGAATAGGTAATGTAGGTGCTGGTGATATTCTGTCTTGTAACATAGCTTGAATATCACATGAATTCGCTCTTGGTCCATATTTAAGACAAGATTTAAGATTTGATGTTTGTTGTTGTCGTCCTTTAGGAAATGAAGAAGGTGGTGGTAATTTCATTTTAATTATTGTTGGCCCTTCATTCGGTCCAGTAATAACTGCTGATGCTGGTACTGCAGCAAATGTTTTACGTAATTGTGGACTATAAAAAACCCCTAAAGGTTCAGTTGAATGTTTACTGTTTTTATAACGTTTTATTGATTTAAGTGTACGTGGTCGTTCAGATTCTTGTTTTTGTTGTTGTTGAGTTACTGTTGGAGATGATATCATATTGTTATTATTGGTGAGAAACGCAGAATTAGGTAGATTTGGTGTTGGTGGTAAAGGTGATGTAGTACGAGATCGAGGTAATTCTTTTGAATATTGAGAAATAAAGGCAAGATCAGGAAGAGATTTATGAATAGATGATGACGAGACAGGTAATGGTGATGGACGCGAAGGGACGGCAAGATGACGAGGTGAATTTGAATCAAAATGTGTTTGGAGATAATTTGTTGTTGGTGTAGATTGAAAACGACTGTTCATTGGACTGTTTGATGAAGAATCTAATAAAATAGATGTTTGTATCGCTTGATCAGTACTGGAATTTGTTTGTGATGATGGTCGATCTGTATGAATTTGTTTTTTTTGATAATAAGATGATTTTGGTTTTTCTGTTATCATTTTTTCACCCGATATTGTCATGCTATCAATATTATTTGGTACTGTTGAATCACTTTGTTGTCGATAAAATTGAAAAGCACTACGTGGTGAAGATGATGTTGCACCTGTTTGTGACTTTTGTTGAAAAATTTTATAAAGACTTATTGGTGATGGTGGTCGAGTTTCTTTTGGTTCCATACCAGATGTTGTTCGTTGACTTTCTTTCATACGTCTCCATGATGCTGATGATGATGAAGATGTTGATGAATTTTGTGAATTATTATTATTTGGTAATTGTTGTTGAGGAGAAAATGATGTTGGATGAGATTGTGAACGAATAAATGTTACTTGTTGATCCATTGTTGGCGTTATTGATGTTTTATTTTCACGATGTTCAATAGATTGTTCTAATGTATTGAATGATGAACGCATTGACCAATCATTCATATTATTTCCTATAGTTGGAGATACACCATCATCAGAATAATTTGAACTTGATTGTGAACTATAAAGAAAAAAAATATCTTACAAAAATTGTTTTCGAATTGAATATTTAGATTTACTCTGTTGTTCGATGTTTATGATGATGATGATGATGATGATGCCGATGATGATGTTTATGCCGATGAGATCTATCTGTTTTTGATTCAGGTTGTGGTGGTTTATCAGTACTAAATGTTAAACGATAATTAGCTCGTGTATCATATTGATCATCCCATGTAAAACCACCCTCTTGATCATTATATAAACTTTGATCATTGACTGATGGTGTTTGTTGTTTTTTCATATCATCATTTTCGAATAATTCACGATGATTTAAAAGACTATCCATAGATAAACATTCATCATTATAACCAGCTATAGTACTTGTATTATTAGCTAATGAAATACTTTTAACAAGAAAATTATCATCTGGTATATCATCGATAGTCATTGTTTCTGATGTAACAGCTGAAAATGATTTTGTTATAAGTTCTTGTCGATTACGATCACTTAATATTTCATCAAAATTATCTAAATCAAGTGTATGTTTTTCGAGATTTTTTATAAGTTGTTCAACATTTTCGAGATGAGCAGCTGAAGATAGTAAAATGGGATTAATCGTTGAATCGTTCATATTTGCAGTTTATCTATTGTTGCTTCTTATTTATTGTTTTAATTTGACGATTGTTCGAAGTGGCAAAATGGAATGACATGAGAAGTGATGAGACCACGGGTCTAAAATATTTAAAAAAAGAACTTATTATCAAAGTAATGTTCATTTCTATTTTGGAATAGAAAAATAAATCTATTCTTTTGATCTAGTTACAGAAAACGAAACAAAAAATAATCGTGTATATTCTTCTCAATAAAAATAAATAATATACAAAGAAAAATTGTCAAATATAAAAGAATCTGTTTTCTTTTAAATACACAAAAGATTTAATTAAAATCAATTAAATTTGATTCATTTGTCTCTGATGATGGAAGATGAGGATATGAATTATTTGCTGATGGTATTAAAGGATCAAAATCTATTGATGATGAAGAATGAGAATTTTGTTCAGCAGAATAATCAGGCTTTGAATTAAATTGAGTATTGGTTTCATAATTTGATTGAATATTTTTCACATAATTTGTTGGTATTGTTTCAGAAATAGGTGAATGACAATTAAATGTAACCATATCTGAATGAAATATCATGGGTTTTGTTTTATTTACATCATTTGAATTATTAAATGGATCAAATTGTTCAATAAGTTTGTTGACTTCAGTTTGTTCTTTATCATATTCATCACGTGGATCAATAGGTTTATTGTTGAATGCTTGAACTTTAGATTGAAGTTCATTTTGTAATTGTTTTATTTTTGAATTTATTTGTAATTTTTTTGAACGCGGAGTTTCATGTATTTTATTTACATTTGATTCCATAGAGAATGGTAATAATGGATTCTAAATAAAAATATGAAAAAAGAAAATAAGAATTTGATTGTACTTCGTCTATATTGAAATCGATTAATTGATTGGTTTTATCTTGATCAAATTTAGAAGTTGAAGAATGAAATAATGAAGATGATCTATTAAATATTTCAATATGATCCGATAGAAAAAGGATTGTCCTTGTTTTTTCTTACTCATCATTTAAGAAACTCGATGGATTTGACTGAAAGGATATGTATATAAAAATTATGAAAGGTTTTTTTTTTGTATTTATTTTACCTGTTGAGCTGTTTGATGATTTGATTCGACCTGAATAAAAACAATTTAGAAGAATAAAAATTCAATAGAATTTTTACTAACTGAATCGTCAGTTTTTTGTTGAATGCTATTGTTTATCTAATAGGAAACAGTTCTTTTTAGTATTTCAATGTGAAATTATCAAGAACTTACATCAAATGATGCGTAATGAGTTTTTACGGATGAATCTTCATTTGTAACTCTTTCTTCAGGTTTATCTATCTATATAAAAAAATAGTTATGAAAGGTTGGTTTTATGTGTTATAACTCATCACCAGTTGTAATTTTTCAGTTTTAGTTTGTATTTGTTCAGTATCTGGATTGGTAGTCTAGAGAAAATTTTTTTATTATTAATTATTGAAGTGATATGGTTGAGCAACACAAGTAAAAAAAAGCAATTGAAACATGTTGGGTAGACTTTATTTGTTTTATTGATGAATAATTTTTTGTTTTTTGAATATATTAGTACTCGTGTTTGTCTGGTACATGTTGTAACAGCTGTTCGTGTTTATGTTTTGAAAAATTATCATATGGATTATTTTTATTTTAAGAAAGAAGTTAAAAAAACACTGTAACTTACTCTATCTGGAATTTGGTAGATTTTTTTGTTGACATTAGACTACAAGAAGAGAAATTGATTATTCATTGAAATTTCAGAGTTTGGACAATTAAAGGCTAATGGTTTTCATAATAGATTCTATCGACTACGACAGATCATATAAACAGAATAGTCTACAACTGATCTAGTCATGGTGCTTTAAAGTTATCAAAACCTGAAAAAATGTCTTATTTTCACATCACTTCTTTTGTAATTATTTAAATTCATTTACAAACAACTAAATCGATTTTTTTTTTCTTCAAATAGATAATAGCACCATTATTTTCTTCTCTCGTTGTCATATTGCATTATTATTGACGTCAAAATATAACGCAAGTCAATGTTTTTTGAATAACTTTCGATAGAAACAAGATATAGAACTGCAGATTTCACTATTTAAAAGAGAACTTCACATCAGCTCAAAACTGATTAGTCCAGCGGCTGACCAAATAGGTGAGTTTTTTGCGGAAAAATTTTGAAAATGGTGTCCTAGAAAACTATCCAGTTGCATTTCAATTGATGATATGATCATTCGATAGGAAAAATGATTCTCTTCCGACCCACACCAAGCCGACGTCTCTTATCTTGTTCTATCTAAGAGTCCAATGGGTTTTTCAGAGATCCTCGATTTCGACCTAATGACTTTGAAGCACTCGGAAAGATATCAAGAAAATGCTTATTTATCATGCTCAGTCGAATGGTAATGTTTGTTTTCAGTTTCAAAACGCTCTGAAATCATCATAGCAAGATTTTCAAAAAAACAACTCTGAACGGTATAGCAGCAAAATTTGACATTTCGAAAATCTTGTTATAACGACTTGAGATTGTTTTGAAACTGAAAACAACCTTTACCACTTGACTTAGCGTGATGAATTATTCTTGTCTTGATCTCTTTCGAAATGCTTCAAGATCACGAGGCTGAAATTGAAATGTTTGAAAAACCCTTATAACTCTTGAATAGACCATGTTAGAGATGTCATCTTTGCATGGATCGAAAGAGAACAACTTTTTCTATCGACATCTAATGAGTCAACTGCTAGACCAATTAAATTTGAGCTGATTTGATGATTTCCGATGTATTCTTTTGAATAGTGAAATCCGTAGGTCTACATCTTGCATGAGAAAACTCTCATCATAAACTTTTGTCGGAAAAATCTTTATTTTAAAAACTAACAAATGATACATTATTCGATGCAACTTTTTGTGCTGATTTCAAATATGTTCTTATGTTTGTTTCTTTTAAAGTACATCTGAAACAAAAGAACGCCTAATACCTTTAAAAACAAACGATTTTTAGGAAGTTTTGTATCTCATTTCAGAATAGATATCGGTATGACGATTATTTTTTGGTCACGATCACAATGGTTACGATCGTGACTGTGACTCACAAAAGTTCTATAGGTTGCATTAGTGTGACCTGTTACAAAGCAACTAATCATACCAATAATATACAAAAGTACATCGACTCATATCATTGAAGTTCTCCTTTATTTGACGAGCAAAATAAAAATATTTTGATTCGATGAAGAACAACTTGAATAATGTCGTACGCAAACTGAATGATGAAAGTTACGAATGCATTAGATGAATTCATTATTTTCGATACTGATTCACTTGAGACTTTTAACAGACTAGATCTTATAAATTTCTTTCGGCGTGCTCTTGCTGCTGATCTTACTCCATTCAAATCATCTGTTATTATGATATCAGATTTAGTTACAAGATTTTAAAAGAAGAACATGAGCTAACTCTTGATACTAGTCATGACTAAATTTTGGTCACGGTCACCAAGCTTTTTTGAAAAATTCATCATGGTCATAACTATGATTCAGGACAGTCATGACAACCTGTACTTCGAAAACATTTATACATCTTTATACTAACTAAGTAAGCGTGTTAGACGAAAAAAAATATTCTGTGAAAGTTTCATCAAATTTGAAACTGTGCGCACTAACTACACTGAATGCGAATTTTTAGAAATCCTTAGTTGGGAAAGCATGCATACTTTTTCTAACAGAAAAACTGTTAGAACAAAGTTTGGAAATAGAACGGTACAGCAAGAGCTCCATGGTTTATTCTGTAAGTCTTTCTACTCTTTTCGGGGTTTAGGATTTTTTCAAACTCTTAAAGAGCTAGAATATTTTTTTCTAAACTTAAAAGTCGGTCATTGACCAAAGTGTATTGAATATTATACAAATTGCAAAAAAGATGACTGTCATTTTTTCATCAAATGTTCATGTTGTGGCTCACTACTTATTTTTCCAAATTATCAATAATATGTTAATAAAATAAAAGAACTTATCAAAAATAGATCTAGTTCAATCCGATGAAATGTATTCAATCTTTTTTTTTCATACAACTTACTCTTTTTGATTGTTGACTTTGTTCAAAACTTTTTACTTCAATATCAAATTCATCAACATCAATATCAGGATGAAGTTGCAGATAAGTTCGATGCCGAGAAAACTTAAATTAACAATAATCAAATATGTAAAAATCTTTTTTTTTTCTTTATTACTTGTTCAAACATTTGTGTATTAACAACAGAAGACATAAACATATTTAAATCAGATTTTAAATATTGTCTCAAATAAACATTTCTATCGAAATCTAATTGTTCATTTTTTATTACAAATCCACTTGCATAATTTCCTATCAACAAAAACAAAACAAAATTTCTATTAATCCAATTTCTCTTACTAACCAAGAATAGATGCCATAGCTCGAAGAAAAATTCTTGCTAAGTGATCTTCAATAAATTGTGATGATTGTTGAATATCTTTTTTCATATTACGTATTAAATGTTTAGGAAATAAATTCAGATCATCATATTGTGATTCAATTTTTCTATCATCAATATTTACTATTACTACATCACCTAGTTCTTTTTTATTCATTCTCGAATAAATACTTGAATGTATTCCAATTATATATGGTGCTGTACATTGTGCTGTCCATGTCAGAGATTCGGGAAGAATTGGTAAAAAAATACTTTGCCTGAATCAAAAGAGAAAATAAATTTACTTGTTTTTAAATAAGTTTGATTCTTACCAATGCAATGGATTAATTAAATGTAAACATCCACAAGCACATGCTAAGAAAACAAAACTTATAAAAATAAATTTTGATTGAAAATTAAACTAACCAGTTAAATGAAAAAGTTTTGATGAAATAAATAAAATTCTTCGTTCAAAAATTAAATGTGCAAAAAGACGTAGAGTCATATCTGGACCCAATCGAGAAAACATTATTGTAAAATTGCTCTGAATAATAAACGTTGCTTTTTCTTTCTTTTTCTTTTACTAATTATTTTATTTTAAAATATTTACATTAGATGATATTGAAGGAAGTATACGTTGATCAGGTCGAGGATAACTATAAACCTACATAATTTCAACATAAATAAAACATTTAATAATATTCATTATACTTTTGAAAGATTATTAATTTCAATCATTTCTTTTCCTCCACGTTTATAAAATTCTTCAATTGACATTAATTTATAATTATATAATGATGATAAAAATGTTTCAACTTCTGCGACCTTGAAAAAAACAATAACCAAATTGCAGTATAATAATAAAAACATACTGATTGTGTATTAATTATTTGTGATACATCATTAAGAATATTACAAAATATTTCAAACCATGGATAATAACTATCGCAAAAAAAAAACATTTTATTTATCTCAGGGAAATTTTTAGATATTCATACCTCATTATACATAAACAAGTAGATTCTCGATTAGATCGACGACAATATCCGAAACGAAAAATTAAACTTGTTGAATCGAGAACAACAAATGTGAAATATTCACTTTGATCATCGCTGGAAAAAAATGATCTATTTATCTATCTTTCTATTTTTGAAACAAAAAAATAAATTTTCATACGATGGAATTTTACAGGGATATGCAAAATTAGCAGCCGTTTTAAGTATTGGATCTGAGAAATCATTTGGATATTGAATTAAAATTGCAGGTGCTAAAATAAATTTATATTTTAATTTTTAAATATTTATAAAAAAGAATAGACCTACGTTCGTTATTAATCGATTGATGAATTTCAAGAAAAACTTCAAAGAGATGTGCAGGTGATTGTCTGAATAAGAAAAATTAAAAAAAATAACGAAAAAAAATCATTGACTTTATCACTTAATACGAGATTCAATTTCTTTTGTTACTAAACCGGAGGCCATCTACACAAAACGTAACATGTATTATTGTAATCAATAATTGTTAGTTCAGGTATATTTTTTACCTGTTGACGTTGAGTTTCCGTGATAAGTCATACCTTTCTCTACTCTAACTAAACAAAAATTCTTATTGGATAATTCATAAAAGCCAATAAGAAAATAGTTTGAAGACTCTTGAAAAGAAAGAATTTACTAAAATAAATATTTTTTAAAGTGAATTTTAATTCTTAAAGAATTTTAAAAAAAAATCATGCAAACATTTTTATGAACAGAAATAGTGATGAATCATTACTGAGAATAAATAATGGCGAATACTTGTATCGCACCGTAGCGTAACGAGAAATCTTTGGGTGGTTGAGTACTGCTCTATTACGTAGTTTACGAAAATGTGTTTATGATTATGAAGGTTATTTCTTTGTTAGAAAACAATAGTGTCAAAAGCATATTTTTCTTTCAGAAAAAAAGCAATGTTACATTTATTTCGTTTATCATGAATCTCCAAATAACAAATATATAACATTAGTAATACTACAAACAAATATTGAAATAAGTAATGGAACAGGCGTAATAATCAATTTTTAATAAATTATTACAAGGAGTGAATCTTAACTAGAAGTTTTATGTAGTCGAGAACTAGAACACTTTCTATCTCTAGTTAACTTAAGTTCATTCTTTCTCGAATCGATTCAATAAATTCTTTATCAAGAATGTCTAAAACTGTAATTTGACTATTTGTAAATCGAATAAACTTTATAATTTGAAGCTATCTATTTATACAAGGCACTATGCTTATATTCACAGTAAATATCAAAAATCAGTCCATAAGCAAATTGAATTTGTTTTATTTGTACCTTTGAAAATCAATATGTAGGATGCTTTTCGTTTTTATTGTATCTAAGAGCTCGTGTATGATTTATAGAAATCTTGATTTTTCTTTAGTTAATTTTTTTTAATTATTTTAGTGGATAATAAATGCATTGTTTTGGTTGGAAAATTGCATACGATAAGTTCAAATAATCGATATTAGAAGAAATTAGAGAAAAAAAAAACGAATTATCTACAAATAACTTATTCAGGTCATGTTATCATGTGAATGCTAATGGTGGCATCAGTTTGATAAGCTCATTTGTTAAGCAACAACTGCTTTTAATTGACATTTTTATTTGTAAAAATTCATCATTAATTGACTCAGAATATTCAACTTCATGTTTTTTTGTTGCAGATGAGCCGAAAACCAGCTGAATAATAACACATATCTTGTCTTTGTCATCTCGATAGATTCTTATGAAAGTGTCGACCCCATAAATTCAGCTTCTCAAAAATGTGTTTGCATGTCAGTTGTAACACACATGATTACAGGAATAATTTACAGGTGAAACGACACCCTACTAGTGACTGCTAGTACAACTGAGTTCATCTTTTTTAAGAAATAAATTGTAAGATGCTTAATCGATTAATCCTCTGTTTGTGTATTCAAAAGTAACGCTTTAAAGATTCTGCTTGAATTATTGAATACATAAAACAAAAATTCAAGAATTTGTGAATATCTTTAATTGAAATATGTTTCTTTCATAAACTGATATAATTATCTTTGTCAAATGTGATGGTTTTTTCATAGATATCAATAGATAACTTTACATAAAGTATTGTGTTGCACTCTAAAGAACACTTGAACTATTTCTTCATGAAAAAAAGAAAGAGTTCGAAAAGAATCAAACAAATGTTAATAGAAGATATCTTCATTTCTGAAGAGACTAGTGACATCGACATTAGTACGAGTGTGGTTGTAAGATAAGAGTACACCGTCAACTTCACGCCAAGGCGTTTGTTTTTTATCAATTCTTTTCTACTTTAATTCTAAGCTCAAAAAAAAATTGAAAATAAATGTAAACTGTAAAGGATCTTCTTTCTCCAGATAGATACGTGGTATTTCCTCGATAATTCGATCAAAATAACCTTTGAACTAATCTCAATACACTCATGAAATGAAGAAATCTTTTTCTTCATGTTCTAAGATTAAGATTAAACATCTATTGATACAATACAAGAAATCTGCAAATATAAAAGTGATTCATTATTTATCTATCCAAAAGATTGAGAAAATTGACTTTCCTAATATCAGTCGCAAGAAAGTTAGACGAAATAAAAAATTAAGTACACTTTTTCCTAATCTTATTGGCTCGAAAGTGATATGGTTCTTAGGTGATTTGACTTGAGATATGCAAGATCAAGTTTTTCTTTGATTCTAGTCATAAGGATTTCGTTTCTAGTGGCCGCAATCTCGATCATGGCTCCAATCTAAACAAAATAACTTCAAAATATGCTTGCAAGAATTCTGGAAAAATTTCAAAAGTCTGTTTCTTTGGTTATATTAAGTCATTTGATACGATACTACCTGGTCATCTCTTTTTTAGGATGCAATCGAACATGTAAAATATAATCTTTGGTTTCTGTTCTGATACCAGAACATTTTCAATTTTACCATTTACAAGTCTCCGAATCTACCCAAACTAATTACAGTCTCTGCTTCTTATACTTTCATATTTTGTAGTTTTTAAATTTAAATAAATAAAGTCAATGATAATCTTGTATTGAATTATATCTTTAACAATTTTTCAATTGATTTCTGATATCTAATTGTTCTAATATTATATATTATGAAAGAGCACACTACATGATGCCATTGAATCATCATTTTATCGTATATCTTCAATGGACAATCAAGTTCTTCATATAATTTGTGAAAAAGTTTCACCTCGAATTTATCATCAATTAAGTAAAGAATTAATCAGTTTAAATTTTTGTCACTTATTTTGTTATCGAAGCTTATCGATTTGGTTTTCTAATCGATCAACAAAGATAAGTTTGCATTAAACTTTAACTAAATTCCAAATCAATGTCGCGGCTTTTGATGATTGTCTTTATCTTCTTGATAGTGACCTCCATTGTTTATCAACACTAATTACGCATGTTACGAAACCTTTGGATGTGGATTTGGATATGGGTTGACTGACATTTTTACGTATGGCATTTTCGCACTGACACTTACGCGCAAAATAAACTTTTGTTCTGTTCTGATTATGTTAACTTACATGTGTGGATGTAGTTAGTGCGACTCTGGGTGTAG